GACGGTTAAAGTGGCATTCATCAAACTTCCGGTCGGCCGTGGGGACGGGCGACGAGGGGGTGATGTAAGGGCGGGTACTCGGGTAAGTGATCGACGTCCAGTTTAGATCAAGTTTAGTGACGTCTTCATACATAGATCAAGTTTAGTGACGTCTTGATGTATAGATCAAGTTTAGTGACGTCTTGATGCATAGGTCAAGTTTAGTGACGTATTGATGCATAGATCAAGTTTAGTGACGTCTTGATGCATAGGTCAAGTTTAGTGACGTCTTGATGCATAGATCAAGTTTAGTGACGTCTTGATGCATAGGTCAAGTTTAGTGACGTATTGATGCATAGATCAAGTTTAGTGACGTCTTGATGCATAGATCAAGTTTAGTGACGTCTTGATGCATAGATCAAGTTTAGTGACGTCTTGATGCATAGATCAAGTTTAGTGACGTCTTGATCCATAGATCAAGTTTAGTGACGTCTTGATGCATAGATCAAGTTTAGTGACGTCTTGATCCATAGATCAAGTTTAGTGACGTCTTGATGCATAGATTAAGTTTAGTGACGTCTTGATGCATAGATCAAGTTTAGTGACGTCTTGATGTATAGATCAAGTTTGGTGACGTCTTGATGCATAGATCAAGTTTAGTGACGTCCTGATGCATAGATCAAGTTTAGTGACGTCTTGATGCATAGATCAAGTTTAGTGACGTCTTGATGCATAGATCAAGTTTAGTGACGTCTTGATGTATAGATTAAGTTTAGTGACGTCTTGATACATAGGTCAAGTTTAGTGACGTCTTGCTGCATAGATCAAGTTTAGTGACGTCTTGATGCATAGATCAAGTTTAGTGACGTCTTGCTGCATAGATCAAGTTTAGTGACGTCTTGATGCATAGATCAAGTTTAGTGACGTCTTGATGCATAGATCAAGTTTGGTGACGTCTTGATGCATAGATCAAGTTTAGTGACGTCTTGATGCATAGATCAAGTTTAGTGACGTCTTGCTGCATAGATCAAGTTTAGTGACGTCTTGATGCATAGATCAAGTTTAGTGACGTCTTGATGCATAGATCAAGTTTAGTGACGTCCTGATGCATAGATCAAGTTTAGTGACGTCTTGATGCATAGATCAAGTTTAGTGACGTCTTGATGCATAGATCAAGTTTAGTGACGTCCTGATGGATAGATCAAGTTTAGTGACTTCTTGATGCATAGATCAAGTTTAGTGACGTCTTGATGTATAGATCAAGTTTGGTGACGTCTTGATGCATAGATCAAGTTTAGTGACGTCCTGATGCATAGATCAAGTTTAGTGACGTCTTGAAGCATAGATCAAGTTTAGTGACGTCTTGATGCATAGATCAAGTTTAGTGACGTCTTGATGCATAGATCAAGTTTAGTGACGTCTTGATGCACAGATCAGGTTTAGTGACGTCTTGATGCATAGATCAAGTTTAGTGACGTCTTGATGCATAGATCAAGTTTAGTGACGTCTTGATGCATAGATCAAGTTTAGTGACGTCTTAATGCATAGATCCAGTTTAGTGACGTCTTCATACATATATCAAGTTTAGTGAAGTTCTTCTTCGTTGGTCTTGGTTGAGTGTCAGTCTTGGTTGAGTCAGTCTACATCCATTCGGCAGAAGTAAGGTCACGTGTTTAAGCGTGATTTAACGGTTACTCCCTGCGAGGTCATTGGTCATTGGTCAAGCACAGCTCACGTTGTCAAATAGACTGATAAAACGAGGTAAAAACTTCTGAAAAATGTGATCAAAATTAAATTTAACGAGATGAAACTCGTTAATATGAACGAACAAGCGGGAAAAAACAATGATTACACGTTGTTGAACAATAAATGAAAGGTTCGAAAGAAACTTCTAGAAATAGGCTGAGCCTGCTACATGGTATGACTAGCTCTAGCAAGGATCGTCTTTTACTCAACTCTAACATGACTACAAAACAGATGGCGCTTAGTAAAAGACCTAAGACTAATGCGATGGGATTTTTTTTATTTTGCTTCCTTTCTTCCTAATTAAACAGTGTCTCCTTAAGACATTTTGCTCAGGAGGAGGGAGAGGCACTTAAATTTCCTGGGGTGGGCTCTGGTTAAAATAAATATTTTCTATATAAAATATTTTTTTTCTAATTCGTTCGAAAGGGGGGGGGGGGTGGACGACGGGTGAAGTGGTGGGGGTGTATTATACACCCCCTCCCCCCTCCCCCCCCCCCCCCTTCCCCCGCCACGAAAAGAAGCGAAAGAAACTCTGTAGGTAAAATAAACCACGTCCAATTTTAAAGATTTCCATCCAACTATGAATAACGAATTGAATGAAGACAGACATTTTAAAAAATAACGATCGGTTTATACTCTGAATTTTTTTTTACATTTAAAAACAAATTAAAATAACTTCCTAAAAATGTCTTCAAGATCTTTACATTAATCATCTGCCTGACTACACTCGCCGAAATATTCAGCTCATTAGATATGCATGGGATAAAGGTCAGATGATACTCTCAAACCTTTTTTTAGATTCTGGCGCCAAAAGGTTCGAGTCAAAACCTTTACATAAAAAATGGTGTCGCGACTTTTGCTTCGATGTGACGCTGATAAAAATACATTCTTTCGACTTTTTGGTACTTCGGTCTAATGAGATTATCCTTTGCTAGCACTTTTACTCTAAAACTGTAACGCAGGCCTTTAACCAAGGACTAACCCTAGCCTAACCTAGCCTAACCCTATTAAACTTAAAGATTGGATGACGGGGACATATTGGAAAGTCCCGATTGCTATTTTTAGCACCGGATTTGGTCTGGGTCAAGTGAACTTGACGGGACCAAGATGGCGGCAGAGACCGAACGTTTTCACTTCGTCATCGTGTCGTTTTTAAATTAAGTTTTACTTATATTTTTTGTACAGTAATGTGTTAAACGCGAAATATCGATGGTAGCATATTCACACTTTCCCAGAAACTTTTTGAAAGCATTTACGACCTAACCAAATCCTAATGAAATACGACTCATCCTAGACAAAATATTGTCCTAGCGTAGCCATTGTCCGAATATAAATTCGGGCCTAATGATACCAAGGACCTAACAAAGCCAATGACCCAACAAAGCCAGGGACCTAACAAAACGAGGGACCTAACAAAACGAGGGACCTAACAAAACGAGGGACCTAACAAAACGAGGGACCTAACAAAGCCATCTACCGAAGAAAACCATCGACATCGAAAAAACAAACTACATATATTCCAGCGTAAAAAATATCAACCAGTGTTTCTTCCAGACTTTTTTCTCCGGGGGGGGGGGGGGGGGCATTTGAAATTTTCGAGGGAGGCGGTAAACTTTCTTCGGGGGGGGGGGGGGCGGACAGTGTTAAAAGTATATATTTTCTATATAAATTATATAAATTTCATTTCGTTCGGGGGGGGGGGGGGGGCGGTAAAAAAATTTCGGGGAGGCTTCGCCCCCCCCCCCCCGAAGAGATGTCTGGAAGAAACTCTGATATCAACTATTTAGTGTTGTTTAGTAAAGCTCTATTTTATATAAGTGTCGCCCACGCAAAGAGAGTGGAGACGCCCCCGTAATGAGGGTGGAGACGCCCCCGTAATGAGGGTGGAGACGCCCTCACAAACAGGGTGAGACTTCCACGTCAAGAGGATGCCAAGAGACGCCCACACAGGAATACATAACATTAGCTAATGATAAATGGCCAAACAATATACATGAGCTAAAGGCAAAACATTAAGCAGATAACGAAATAAAACATTAATTTTACTACATAATCAAATCTGTGCGCATCTAAAACCAAGCTGGCCAAGAAAATATAGCATTATTAGTGCTAAATTAGAATAATGTTAGACTTTTTTTTACAGGTTTTTATTGAACTTGCTTTCTTTGTCTGTCTATCTGTCGTCATGGATCGAAAATGCCGAGCGAAATTTAGACCATTTCGAACAGACCAATTTCTCTTGAACTTGGCACCTGGGTCAAAACTCGATGACGAGGCAATCTGACACCAAATTTTACTTAATTGTATGCTTTAGAGATTTAATTTAAGTGTCCTATATAAATTATTATTTGCTGCGCTTTTATACGCACATTGATTCATTTGGTGCACAATTATTTTTGTACATGCAATTCTATTGTATTAAAATTTATGACGAATTGAAGAAAAAGATCATACAAAATCTTTTTGGTGATATTTTTTTGGTAATAATGTACTAAAAAGGAGAAAATAAATGATTGTCTTTAAATATATAATTATGAACTACTATTTATATAATGAAAAATAAAAACTTGGGTCATTTTTAAATAGTGGATATGAAAGTATTATTATTTTCTCTTGAAATTTCAACGGATTGATGGAAAGATTAGGCTTATGTTAGTACTTGGTTTAGGTTTTAATATTATGGTCAAGTGTTAGGGAAAAAATAAAGGCTAACATTAGTAAGTAGGTTTAATGTTCGGCGCGCGAAAACCATCCTTCAGTGAAGTGTAACGAAAATAATAGCATGAAACTTGATGAAAATCATGATACTTAATTAAATTATAAAACTTTACAATGTCTCGAATCTTGACATAATGAAAATTTCTTGAAACTTTACATTGTAATTCAACATGATAATGGCAAAAAACACGTAACAATGTAAAGAAACATGATAAAGTCAAAAAAAAATCTGATATTGCAATGAAACTTGATAATATCAAGAAACCTGAGAATGTCAAGAAACCTGATAATATCCAAAAACCTGATTACCAAAAAAAAAAGCCTGATAATATCAAGAAACATTATTATATTTTTAAAAATGATATTATCAAGAAACCTGATTATCAAAGAACCTAATAATATAAAAAAACTGATAACATCAAGAGAACTGATAATATCAAGAAATCTGATATTGAATGAACCTTGAACATCTCAACAAGTTGAGTACACGCAAGTGCAGACAATTAAAAACTCAAAGTACACTCACAACACGATCTATAAATAGAAGGTAAGCCAACCTGGTAGCGGAAATACGTGAGGCCAGGTAGCCTCCTGGAATCTGGGTCACGATGTAGCCCCAGAAGAAGGAACTGTCGACGACCCCCACAGTTTCCGGTGTCCAATTGAATTCTGGTTCCTGTCAGAGAGAAGAAAAAAAAAACAGTAAAAAAATAGATTTCAATGCTGTCTCCTTCATTAGAAGATCTACCCCCAATCAAATGTAAAACCCGCACATTGCATAGACCGGAAGAGTTATTTGTTTATAAGTTTATTTAAATTTTTTCCTCAGCAAGAAAAGGAAAGCACTGGGGAGTTAACTGAAAGAGCCATTCATATGTTTTCAAGATTTTCCCCGGAAATGACCGTAAATTATATTTTATGATCGATCGTTTCAATTTATTTTAATATTACAAGAAATATTTAAAACGAACAAAAAATGTTATTTAGATACTTTTTTTTAAATTACGAGAACAATTTATTGATTTGGGATAAACATTCCATTAAAGGTATTTTCCTTCTTTCGTTGCAAACATACGGCTAAACTTGCAGCGACTATCAAAATAGGAAACACAACAATATGCATCTGCTTGTTCAAATGTCGGGTTATTCTATTCACACATTTTATTTGTTCGACATTACTCGAACATCATCATCCCTCCATTTTCGTAATCCCAACATCCAACACATCCTATTGATATTCACGTGATGTTTGTCTCTGGTTTAGCCTGATACCTTTGGCAAATATTCCAGTGTAGTGCGTATCTATGGGGAAAATACAGAAGCTCCGTGTGCTTTAGGTATTAACTAGCGCATGACGTAGGTTCTGTCTAATGACGTTACGATGAATATACGTCAAGAATAACGGGACGGTGTGGTCGGACAGTAGAGCGCACGAATGCTTGCACGAAAGGCGCGAGTTCCAATCCCAGTCGCGACCCAGTTGGATTTTTTACTCACGTTAGGGCAAGTAAAGGCGGGTGGCACAACACACACATAACACACACATAACACACACATAAACACTTTAAATAACACGCACATAAAAAACACACAAAACGCACACATAAGTCCAAATGTATGTATCCTAGAGGAGATAAAACAGGATTTACAATAATTAAAATATTTAAAATCCCATAAATTAAAACCTATTATTAAGCATCTTCTTAACAGGTTTTTAATCCGTTTTACTGAGAACGATTACCGGCGTTAAGATGGGTTCTTCTTCCTTAATCCATTAGCGAATCATTTTACGCCATTAATCTGTCAGCTAATCATTGTACGCCATTAATCCATTAATCCGTCAACTAATCATTGTATGCCGACATGATTATATAACGTAAGATTGGAGTGAGCCCCACCGAATGATGCTGTAGGTGCTAGAGGAAGTTACGTCCTGTGCTTGTGCTCAGAGTTTCTTCCAGGCATCCTTTCGAAATGAAATTTATATAATTTATATGGAAAATATATACTCTTAACAGTGTCCGCCCCCCCCCCCCCCGAAGAAAGCCTACCGCCCCCCCCCCCCCCCGAAAATTTCAAGCGCCTCCCCCCCGGAGAAAAAAGTCTGGAAGAAACACTGCTTGTGTTGGTGTCACGTTTTTGTCCCGGGATCTACGATCGACAGTTTCTTTCAGGCTACTGTCTGACATATCCTGCCCCCCCCCTCACCCGCTATTTAACCATTCTTTAGACTGCACACACCCTCGCCGCCCCCCTCCCACATACTAGCAAAATGCCTGAATGCAACCCTATATACGGAAGTTATACATCACCAAAACGTTAATTTAAGCACACAAAAATATTATCTCTCTTGTTTTACATCTGTTATTTTTCTCAAAGTTGAATAATGATAATGGCATTTATTTTGAGCTCAGTTTAAAAATATTTAAATATTTTAAAGAAAAAAAAATATTTATATAAATATATATATATGGTTAATATGTAAATGTAATATATAATAATAATATTATATTTATGTATGTGTGTGTGTATGTGCGTGTATGTGTGTAACTGTGTGTAGTATTTGATATCTAATGCTATTCTGTAACTTTTGTTTAAGTATATTATAAAGGGGAAGAGCTGTATTGCATTTTGTAAAAGTGTTCCATGTAATTGAAATGTAACGTCTAGAATTCATGATATTCCCCCCATCCCCACCCTGTAGAGTTGCTCCACCAAGCTGTGTCCACTAAAACTAATGCACCCGACTGACACGCCCCATGATGCAACATTAAAACTGAACGTTATTTACTTCAGAGTTTAACCATCCATCAGTCTTTCACTAATTGCTTTTATCTATTTACCCTGATCGCGTTACACAAAAGGTGACGTCACAGCCACTCCAAAAGTCTACTGGTGGATTATGACGTACTCGCCACAATGGACGTCTGACCACACCAGCGGGAGTCTGCTGAAGGGCACGGGCATGGTTGCCTAGCAATCAACACGTCACTAGCCGCGTTCTATTGGCTGAGTTGATTACAGTAATGCAATTAGCGGACGCGAGTTCATTGTACGCATACGGCGGTACCGGCTAGGCTTTTGGTGACGTCAGAATAAAATAAAAGCCGTGTATGTAGTATATGTGAGAATGTCAGACCTTTATGACGTGTCATTTGTGATGTAATCGGCCTGTTATGAGGAATAAAAGTAAAAAAAAAGGAAACTACCCTTTCGAAACTTACAATCAATGAAGCAATTGAAGTAGAGTTCACCTATTTCTGTGACATCGGCATATGAAAAGATAGTGTGGTCAGCACTATGGCCAGCCGCCTTTACCCTTAACAAAAGTTTGCTATCCACCAGAGCTAGAGCGATTCAGGTGCGTTCTACGGAGTCGAGGCCGTTATCCAAACGCGAGACTACCGGGTTAGCAGCTGAACGCGCTATCATTCGACCACGCTGCCTCGTTATGACGTATACAGGCTTTTATTGGCGCAGACAGCATGGGTTAATTACAGACGTCCCACAGACAGACGTCCCACAGACAGACGTCCCACAGACAGACGTCCCACAGACAGACATCCCACAGACAGACGTCCCACAGACAGACGTCCCAAAACACAACATTTGTATAAAAGACGTCACCATTGTGTTAAAGTGCTATCAGGGATCTTAAATAAGTAAATAATAAACGCCATATGTTTATGCGTTAACTGTGAATTTGTTATAAATTACACAACTTATCATAATCTGTATGTTGAAGGCGTGGTCTAGAGTTTGAGCACAACTGCCATTCTCGAAAGTCACAGTTCAATTCGTCAACTTTAGCCACAAGGACTTGCAAGGGTTTATTTTAAAAAGTAATACGTCACAATGTTATGAGTAGCCATTACGTACTCACTCAAGAGAACAGAAAGATAGATCTATACGTTTCTAATGGGAAATTAATTACAGATACAAGAAATATTATCTAGTTTTATTGTTTTTAATTAGAGAACACGTTCTTAATTATTCTCATTACATAATTATCAATTTTTTAATCAAGACAACGAAAGATTCGAATTACTAATTATGTAATGTAATACGCAATCTAAGGGTGTGTACTCTAACAATGCAGTAGTAGTAGCCTCCCCTTACAAGATCTTCAGTACACAATTGTTCACAACTTGTACATTACACACATTGCCGGCGCCAGGTTATTTAGCGCCCTAGACAAAAACTTATTAAAACGCCCCCTTTCACTCAAATTAATTACTAAAACATATGTATAAGAAAACAATTAATTAAAAGTGACATTAATTTATTTATCAATTGCATACACTTTATAAGTAGACATCAAAATCAAATTTTACTTTCCTCCTTTGTCGCAAAAGTTTGTACAAAAGTTTGTATTAATTCCTTCAATTCCAGTTTGCAAGCGTAATCACATTCTATTAAAATTGTTACTAAGTCCACGAGTCTACTTTGTACTTTACGTTACGACATAGCCCCCCCCCTTAGAAAATTTCAAGTGTGCTTTCTTTCCCCCCCCCCCCCCCACCATTACCGGGAGAGAGGAGTCTAGGGAAAAACACTGGGGGAAAAACACTGGGGGAAAATAACAGTTCTTGTAGTGTTGGGCACGTTGCAAACCTTCCAAGGTGAGTTCCACAACGGAACTTACCTGTTTTAAGCTTGACTTTCTTTAGTTATAATTGTAAAATGTCTATATTGTGTGATTATGTAACGATTTTGTTTTTGAAAAATAAAAGGTTATAGATGTTATAGTTTCCAGCCTACAATTATTACATCTGAATCCTTTAGGAGAGGGTGAAAAATATGAAAAAGATACTTAATTAATTAGATGATTAATTTGCGACTAAGACGATTTTAGACGCATTTGTTACACTCATACTGTATGTCTACTAACATTAAGTATTGCAATCTACAACGGCACTGATGTATTTGCTTTTCAACTGGTTAATGCTAAAAAAAATACCAAACTATTTTGTTTAGAATTTCTGCTCTACAAAATTTTTACAATTACAAATAATAACTTAAATTTGTATTCATAAGTAAGCGGTCAACCTAAAGTGAAGGAATTTGAAATATATAAGGTAAAGTTAAGCAATGAATTATCTCCCATTTTGGAAATCCAAATAACAAAATTTCATTCAAGGGAAATAACTTTTTAAAAATATCTAAATTAATCAATAGTAAATAAGACTTGCTTGAAAAACACAATAAAACGATCTAAATTTCATTAAGTAATAATTGTAACAAATATTTTATATTTTAGATATGGAACAATGTCAAACAATATATTTTATTGATTGACAAGTTAAGTGTAGGTGTTATTTGAAAGTCTAAACATGGTATCTTTAAAATAACATACTTTTAGTCAATTTGGATGACATTAATAAATCATCAGCCTTCAAGACTCTGCATAATGAAAATTTTGGATCCCCTTTATTAAAGGGACGCCTTTTCAAAAAAAAAATTATGTTTAACTCACTACGACATTGCTATAATTATTTGATTAAAATTAAATATAAAAAAAAAATATAATTTGAAAAAACAAAGTTTTCGGTTAGTTATAAATTCCAGCCTATATAATATTGTATATTAATACTTTAAGAGTGGTAATATAGATTCCTAAAAAACTAAAGATTTTTCAGCTAAAGAACGCCTACCTTTCTTTGCAGAGTATTCCAT